AGGGGGTGCACTGTCCATAACAGTGTATTCGGCTAGGCCTAGTAASAAAGGCTGGGCTGAACCCATGTAGCTGATGTGTAGATCACTGCTTGGGTCCCATGCCATACAAGGAAGCCCAACTAGGCAGCAGTTAGGAAGGCTAAGTGAGCATTGGACCTTAATGGGCCTAAATCCCATTTCGAACTGGGCTATTTAATTAGTTAAATATGGGGCGAATTCTGAGATGGATTAGCAGATATGATAGGGTCTTAATCCTATCCACTCAGAGAGTCCAGATCTGAATGTGATTTAGATCTAGAAACCTCCTAATAAGATTAGGAGAAGGCTGATCTAATCTGCAGATAAGATAAAGGCTTATCTTTATCACCTATAGGGATGTCTGATCCAAACATATTTGGATCAGCAACTCCTAATTGGATTAGGAGCTGATCCTTTAGGGTTACAAAAGAAGGAAGGGGCGACAGCCTTTAGAAGACAGATATTCACATTCTCTTTAGTGATGAAATCACAGAAGATAGAATCAAGCAACCCTACAGAATTCTTTCTTGTCGCCTCCTTCTTCTTGCCGCCTACCTTGCTAGTTCGATCTCCAGTTCAGTGGGAGAAGTCAAGATTTGATCTTGACATCGGTTCTTTGTGAAAGGACTGATAGGAAGCTATGCTCACATGCCATCCTGCTATTTCTTGCGAAGGACTAGGTTCTTGGAGAAGAACTCTACTGATTCTGCTCCATCCTGCACTGCGCCATCTTCAGTGGGAGCAATCTTTGGATCCTTCCTTGGGCGTGAACACCTCTATTGGGAGATATTACTTCTCTGCATCAGGTATAATTCTCTCCTACTGTGTTTGTTTAGATCTAGTTCAGTTTATGGTTCAAGATTGATCCTTGAAAATATGATTTTCTAAATAGGGAATTTGATTCCYAGTTGAAAGGGAGAGAAATTTTTTGAAATTCGCCCACCTTATTCCGCAAGATTTGGGCGTCCATACGATGGATCTCTCATCCCTTCAGGTGGTGAAGCTCGGCCTCGGCCTAGCTACCTTGACAGGGATGAGGAACAAACTAGGAGAGCTAAGGCATTCGCCTCCCTTTACTTTTCTCCAAGGAAAGGGGCCCCGTGTCATCGGCGGCAATGCTCGGCCTCGGCCTGACTCACTTGAGTTCTTGATTGAGTGGCTTAGTGAGCGATGAATTTTTGCAACTTGCGACCTCTCGTTAGGGGGCATCGGCCCCCTATGCACATAAAAAGAAAGAAAAAATGCAAGTACAAAAAGGCACAAGATACGCAAAAATTATATTTCATAAATGTCAATTGTGTATGGCTTTACAAAAGTTTGCCTCGGAAAGGAGAGGCCAAGCCCCTTACAAAAGTTATGAACAAAAAAACAAAAAGAAGAAAGAGCAACTCAGAATGGCCTTCAGATCTTAGCGTTCCCTTTGGCTGGTGCAGGCCGCTCCCTGATGGGCTAGCACAGGCACTTCGGCCTCTAGCTTTAGGAAAAAGCCCCAGTTGGCTGACATCAAACTCAGACATCAAATTAAGCACTTGGGCCTCGGTATCTTCAGTGCTCTCCAAGTAAGCAGCTGCCCTGTAGTCAGCCAGGGCCGGGTCGCACTCCATCGACGCCTACCATGCCTCGACGACCTCCTCTGCCCACCTCTCAGCAGTCGTGCGCCCCTCCTCGGCTTGGAGACTCATCACCTCGGATGCCTGCGGATTTTTGTCTGCCGCATTCAGCGCATCCTTTAGAGTCCTTACCAGCTCCTTCTCGGTCGTGGTGATCTTGGCCTCAAGAGCCTTCCTTAGCTCTCGTTCCTTGCGCATTGTCGAAACAATCGACTCACGATCACTCTCTGCTTCGGAAACCTGTACTTCGAGTTGCTCCCTCTTCTCCTTGCAAGAGCCTACAACAATGCCATCTCAAGTGCCTAAAAGAGGGGGGACAAGGGCAAGGGAAAGGCACTCTTTTGATGAATGTTTTGTTTTCCTTTCTTTTTTGTAATCTCTTAATTTCATTTGCACTAATACGTGAGCAATTATAAATATAAGCTTTATTGGTTTCTAATGACATTTATTATTAAACGTCACAAAAAGCAATTTAGGAGGAAGTGGGGAAAAGTGGTGCCACTTGTCGCATAGGCCGACGACATAACAAGTAGCCTGTAATGGAAGCACAATCGTCAACAAAAGAAACGCAAGAACAAAGAAATTCTCTAAGTAACAGAGCAAGTACTCACATCGGCTATGCTATCTGTAAGGGTGTCGTGAACACCCTGTACACCCCTTTTGGGTCATGGCATGCTTGTCAATCCCCTCGACTGGGCACCCCTCAGTGTGCTCATGTCCTTACCACCGCCCTCGACCGGGCGGTCCTTTGTTGCCAGCCTTTTGCCCATTGGGGGCTGAAGTGACCAGCCTTTTGCCCATTGGGGGCTGAAGTGACTCGGATGGCCTCTTGGGGGCAGGTTCTCTCCACCGATTCGCCTCGACCGGCCTTCCCCCCTCCCAGCTCCAGCACCACTAGCCTGCGTCTGTGGCCGAGGTGGCCTCTCGGTTGGCGCCTCCCTCCTCGGTGCTTGTTTCCTAGACTGGCCCTCGCCCAATGTCTTCTTTAGCGACTTGGCCTTCTCGAGCAGCAAGTCCTTGGCGTTCAACGGCAGTCCACTCCCTCAACACATGGATCTCGGGCCCCGGAGCAAGGCCCTCGAACTCATTTGCATAACTTTCACTACCGCGGACCGAGGTGGGAATGGCAGACGAGAAAGCAGTTGATTCATCAGGACACTCGTAGCACTCGAGACTGGAATCAGAGTAAAACACGGCTGCGAAGTCTTTAAAGGAAAATGAATAGCTCAGATCACCTCCAATCCAACGGCCTAGAGCAACCACCTCAGTAATTCGATCCGACACTAAGACCCGTCATACGCGCGGACGGTACCCGACGTCAAAACTCGTCTCGTGCACAGTCACGACATGCCCGCCCATCATCTGTACCTTACATAGTAGTGATTGGCTGAGGCTAACGCCTGACCCATGCATTGACTCATCATTTCATCTGTAAAGAACACGACTGGGGGGCACATGCACCTCCACCCATACAAAATGTTAGATAGTGTATGCCCTTAGCTCCAATCAGCTTGATGTACATTATGACATTTATTGTAAATGAATAAAAGTACATATTTGATTCACGTTATATRGTGTGTTTTTGTGTAATACCCTTAAACTTGACACCAATGTGACTTGTGTTAGTTTAGAATCTTCACAGCCGTTGGATAAACCTGGGGAGGTTTATCCTACCAACGCTGCCACTGATGTGCTGCCAAGTGGGTTGGGGTGGCTTGTCTCAGTTGCCAGGGTGAGACATGAGGCACATGTAGTGTGGGTTTTCTTGAAACCTTGAACCGGACCAAATTCTAGTATTGTCCTAGACCTTGGAGACGGATGGGCAAAACTAGAATGTTACACCTGACCCCTAGACTCGACTATGGTACTGCACTAGGTGTCGGATTAGGCTGTCTTTGATATGCCAATCAGTGAGATTCTTAGCGGGGGTCAAAACTTGGGTATGTTGGGATAGTCTGAGAATTCACCTGAGTGGGTGATCATAGTGACAAGATCAGCCCCTTTGTCGGACAAATTGAATGATCGGGGAATCCACTCTCTCTGATGAAAACCTAAACTACCGGCAGTTGATTTCAAATTTGTTGAGATTTGTTTTGCAAAATATATTTATATAGAAATATACATATATATTATGGTTTCACAAATTGTTTGCAGAAGGTTTTAATTCCTAGGATCCATGTGAGTAGAGAGTGTAACATTGAACCTTGCAGCCGATGGAGAGGTCCTCTCTTGTCGGGCAGTGTATGATCATTAAGGGCTGAGAGGTCAAGTGTAAGACCATTTAGGGATAATAAACCTGATTGCTAATCTCACATCTGGCCACAGTCCTTGGGCCTTCATAAGAAGGCTGGACCCAAGGACCATTTAGTGTAAATGTTGGGCCCATTAAGAGCCCATACTGATGGACTTAAGAGTTCATTGCATTCAGCAGTGAATTCGGCCAGGCCTTGTAACAGAGGCTAGGTTGAACCCATGTGGCTTATGTGGAGATCAATGATAGGGTTCCATGCCATACAAAGAAAGCCAAGCTAGCTAGCATTAAAGGAAGTGAGCCTAAAAGCTTAATGGGCCTAAAGCCCATTTTTGAATTGGGTTTAAATTGATTAATTAAATAGGGAGCGAATCTGGGTATGGATCAACAGATAAGGATAAGAGGATAACTCTTTTCCACTTAAAGAGTCTAGATCCAAATAGAGATTTGGATCAAGGAACTCCTAATTTGATTAGGAAAAGTTGATCTTGATCTATAGATAAGATAAGAGATAAGCATTATCACTTAAGGAGTCCAGACCCAAATAAAGATTTGGATCAAGAAACTCCTAATCAGATTAGGAGATTAACTCTTTAAGTTTATATAAAAGGAGGAGGGCGAATTGGAAAAATGTTACACAGTTTTCTGCATTCAGTTCTCTCTCCCTCTACTCTTGCCGCCCTACCCTGTTCAATCTCCAGTTCTTGGAGTGATCAAGATTGGATCTTGATATTGTTTCTTGGTGGAAGAAACAATCTGGAAACTATGCTCACATCCCTACACAATTCTTGTTGAAGAATTGGGTTCTTGCTAAAGAATCCACTTGCTGATCCTACCTCACCTAAAGTTGTGTCATATTCAGTGGAGGAAGGATTTGGTATCCTCTTTTGGTGTGAATACCTACATTGGGAGGATCTTTTTGTGTGGATTTTGTATCAAGTATTCCTCTCCCTAATCTTGGTTTCAGATTTGGTCTTGTTTGTTTCAAGAACAAACCTTGAAAAATGCAATTTTTCTAAATCAAGAAATATGATTCCCGGATGGGAGAAAGAAATTTTAAAATTTCGCCCAGCCACCCTGCATGGTTCGACCATCCATATGATGGATCTCCCATCCCTTCACAATATACGGTACCGAGCTCTCTAAAGCTAAAGCCAATGCCTTCGCGCTTTTCGGCCCTCCACAACTTTCTCAAGAGGCGGAATCAGCAAAGTAGCTGCCACTAAGAGAAGGGAAGCCCCCCAAAGTCGAGGCCGATGCCTCCGCACCTGAAGATCGCTCTCACCAGCCAATCCATAGCTAAGGTCCTCGTCAATGCAAGCYACTTAGCGCCTCCTAGCAAGAACAATACACTCTCTTCGGTCGAAGTCGAGGTCAACACAAAGACCTCCACCGCAGCTTCGAGAGTGGGGGGCAAATGATGTAGGCACTTATAGCAGACCAGTAGCATGCCCACACGTGGCTGAGGGCAGCGTACAACACGAATCCAATAAGGGCATCGCGTTGTACAGAAGCCGATGTGCGATGCGGATCCAATGAAACGACCACACACAGTGACCTTAGATGGCTGTGCAAGCATGGCCAGACTATATCSTGGCTATCTGCACACACCTACCTTTAGGCAGCCTCAAGTATAAATAGGGGATGACCCCCCTAAGTTAAGGGATCTGGACACCCACTACTCCGACCTCATCTGAGCTACTCTACTCAGGCCTCGTCCACCTTCTTTGCTACACTCTTACTAACTTGACCGTCGGAGTCTCTGCCCCCGGGATAACACCCAGGGCCTTTGACGTGTTTCCTCCTCCACAGGTCGGACTTATAGGCCCTCGGCCACAATGAACCTCGGACACATCAATCAGCCCTTGGCTTAGAAGCAAATTTACCTTATTGCCCTCGTCCCATCCAAGGCAACAATAGATATATACTGTGAGTGTCTATTTGGAAGGGCTTTGACGCAGTGGCTTTTGTTTGGAAGGACATTGATGCAGAGGGTTTTGACGTTACATGAGCTGAGAAATCTGAAACACCATAAAGCCATGTTTGGTAAAAACTAAAAATCCAAAATATCGAAAATATACTTGCAAAAGTTGCAAAATTGACTTTCCTATGAAAATATTTCAGGTAGCTTCTCCAAAGCTGTTCAGTTAACACAAGTCCTTCCAATTTCCAAACGGGTTCTGAAGCTTGGAGTCTAGGCTTCAATCCGCCGTGACAACTAAGACATATTCTCAGGTTATCTTGGTAAATGGTTATGGGTAGGGATAATATCTACCAATTATCTATCATAGGTTTTCAAGGTTATTTTCTTATCAAGGATAACCACCCAAAAACAATGGAGAGGCTAGATGCTTCCGGAGAAATTACCAAATTTGTCTTCGTTGTAAGATTTGATAATGATTTTCAGTTGCAGATTTGATAGTCGAGTTATTGAAATCTTAGCATTCTATTTTGGTGGGTTTATGATAGGTGTAACTGTTAATTGTTGAGACATGTTTTGCTCTGGATGGATGTTAAACTCGATTTCAATATCAAAGCAATGTTATACAGAGATTAAACTTTCTCCTTCATCCTCATTTGGGAAGGTATATCCTACAGGAAGATGATGAGCGGGAAAAAAGTTGAGTACATAGAACTTAAACTATCATACCCTTGTTGACTCCAGCTACTGAATGTAATTGTTGAATCACCGGTAGAAAATCTGGCAAAAACCCAGATCACTGTGCATTTGCCCGTGAAAGTATGTGTGATTTATTCTTGGCATAATCTACACAACTGCAAGCACAAGTAGAAGGGTAACTAACAACTTCTTGGGGGAAAATTAGGAGAAATTAGGAATAGAGAGATGCAACTATGTCCTTCCATAACCAGTACTATTCGAAATAGTTTGCAGAAACATTGCCTTAGCATTAGGGTCAGTTGAGAACCGACCCAATACAGCTATTGTGGCTGTACTACTTCCCACCTTCTCAATCCCTCTGGAAATCATACAAATGTGGTTGGCTTCCACTACCACCATCACATCCTCTCCCAACACTGAAGAAACTGTTTCGGCAATCTGCCTTGTCAACCTCTCCTGTACTTGGAGTTTGCAACCATAAAAATGTGTAATTGACTGCAAAATTGATCTTCCAACATGATCAGCTCCATGGGGCTGAAAATATCCTATATGTACCACACCATGAAATGGTAGGAGATGATGCTCACATTGGGACCAGAATGGCAAATTCAGCACAGACCGTATCTCATCCTGATTAGAATTAATATTACCATTATCATTTTGTAGGCTTGATTTAAGCAGACCCATTCTACTAGAATAGAAACCATTCGGTTTCATTTCCAAATTGGATCTCTTAAAGTTCATCATCCAATGCACAAAACGTTGTGGGGTTCCGACAAGCTCTTTTCTTAATGGGTCTTCACCCAAAGACTGGAGAATTGTAGTTACTGCAGTGATCATGGCAGGCTGCGTGGGTACCATATTGGTGGAAGCCCTACAACTGGAGTTCCTTGTGCTTGTATGACCATTACAGGCCAGCACATCCAGAGACCTAGATGGGCACCAAGAAGGTTGACTATTGTTCTCTACATTTACACCTCTGAACTTCAGAAGAGAAAGGAAGTCGGCCCAACAATCTCCATTTTCATTCTCAAACACTCCCGACCCTGAAGTAACAGAGATCTTCACCCACCCTGGCATGTCTACTTCTGTAAGATGGCTACTTTGCTCTGCACTACTACATTCTACTTCAGGAAATTGAATGTGCCAACACTGAAGTAGAACTGCAACACCTGCTGGCTTGATTGCATTGTGTAAAGCCAAACATACTTCATTTGCCAGTCTCTGTGGGTCTTGAAGTCTCTTGGCAAAGACATCAGCCACCCTGGAGAGCTTGCTTAGGCCTACCACCCGTTGCCCAGATGGAACATAACCAACATGACACTTAACCTGAAATGGTAGCAAGCATGATTCACAGTAGGAAAAGAGGTCAAGATCTCGAACAACTACAAGTCCACCTGCTCCTCCTGCATGCCCAACTCCATTATACAAGCCAGCTTCAGGGAACAAAGCACCTTGCACGATATCCTTTACCTTCTGCCTGTAACCTGGAAAAAAGGGAAAAACCAATGTGCTTGAATCAATATACTTCCAAATATTCTATTATTTGTCATTTCTAGAATTGCACTTAAAATTATATATTGAAATAATTTAAAATACATGCTCACATCCCTATATGCATGTAAATTGCAGAATCCAGGGATTGTTACAATAATCAGATAAAATATTAGTTTTCTTTTTGTTTTTTTATTCACACACCCAAAAAGGAAAATAAACATGTCCATTTAGAATGGGTGGGGGTATCCCATTCAAAGAAAATACCAAGAGGTCAGATCAGTGGCCTTGCTTCAAATAGGTGAAAATATGCAGCAGGAGTAGAATAACAGTTCAGCTGGATTGTTACTTGACCTAATCCCAGCTTCACACCAGTTACTGCAAAAAAGGGGCATATGAAAGCCTAGGTTGTCCTTTATATAGGCAAAAGCATGCAGTGGGAGCCAAATAACTGTTTGCTGAATTATAACTTACCTAATCCCCTGTTAGGGGGCATAACCTTAGGTCAGGTTGGGTCAGCTTCAGGTCAATGAGTCAATCCAACTCAACCCAAGTCAAGGGCACCTCAACCCTAACCTAACCCAAACCCCAATCTGATGAATCCAACCCAAACCCAACTTCAGTACTTCACTTAGAATGTGTAACTGTAACCAAAAAAGAGCATCCAGACTTTAAGAATCTGCTCAGGTTTGGTTGATTAGCTTGATAAAAGCATGACAAAAGCCTGCCATTGATCATCACCCAAGCCTTATCCCAACTATATGGGGTCAACTACATGAATCCTGTTTCTCCATTCCATTCATTTTAAAGCCATGTCCACTGTTAAACTATTGGCGCTTAAAACATTTTTTACTACTTCTACCCAAGTCCTTTTTGGTCTACTCCTAGCCCTTCTAGCCCCTTCAACTTGCAATAAAATCACTTTCTTATAGGTGCTGTTGATGGTCATCTATACACGTGATCATGCCTGTCATTAAAACTACAAAAAAGGATTGTAATTTTTTAATCCTGTTTTGAGACTTGGGCAACAAAAATGTCACAGAAGTCAAAACTTTGATAAATTACTACAACATCCATGCACACTTAATCACAATTTGAACTCAAAAAGTACCCACAAAACAGAGATAACTCAGTTTAGTTGCCTACAGTTAGGTCGAAAATACTTGATAAATGAATACAACATAAGACAAATCCATGAAGACCAAATTACAGGCAACTGATATTTAAAAAATCAGAACTTTTCTGAATTACTGTAACATCCATGTGCAGTTCATTACAAGTTGGATCCAAATGGTGCCTAGGAAACTGAGATAATTCATTCAGTTGCCTGAGATTGGTTGAAGAAACTTGAAACATGATGTCACATAAGACAAATCCAAAAGGTCCAATTTATTTTATTAATAATCTTATTTTAAATTATAAAAACCCAATACTAATATCGATGTAGTTCTTGAGGAAGACTTATTTTGGTTTCCTACGCAATAACTCAACATATAATTAATTAGATAAACAACCACAAGTCATTTACCTAACCAAACAATTCATTTGTAACTTGGCATCCCCAAACTTACTTTGCACATGTATGCCCATGGAATAATATGTTATGTACAGCTAGACAGAGAGAGGACAAAAAAGAGTAAATAGCAATATTCCTATTGTTACAAATTTCAGGAGTAACCAAGTCTATCAATTCCTACTTTTTTCCTTTCAATTTTTTAGCACAAAAAATCATAAATTGCTTAAGATATATCTGGATTTCTATCATTTTATTACTAGCATCATAGCATGTATAGAGCAGATTTAGCAAGCAGATTTACAAGTTAAAGACTTTCATAATGAACGGACCCTAGAAAAAGAAGTCTATATGCTACACCACCTGATAGCTTCCTTTGAATAATCAAAAACAATAAAAGAAAAATACCGAGAGACTTTGTGTCTAGTTGGTTTGTCTATATTCCATTTTGTAAGGTAGGTCCCAGTATTAGGGTGGTCCAGATGAGAAGGGAGAGAAGAACCACCACATATAGAAAAAGAAGCCTTAGCCACTCCACACCCACTGGTCCCACTCCCACACAACTTAGGGACAACACAGATTTAGTGGTATACATCATAAAGGATACTGAAAGGAGAAAATAACAAGATATGCTTTGAGACGTTATTCCCCTTACACTTGAATTTCCTAAACCTAGGGCTGTCAATGGACTCTAAAAATCCAAAACCTGATCTGACATCATACCCAATGTAGTCTGAGTCTGATTAAAATTTAATACTTATATAACACAATTATATATGTATCTAGATATCATATATAATTACCTAAAGTTTATAATTAATAAATTCAGTGTTTTCCCTACAAAAATTCAATAAGATGTATATATATATATATATAAGTTAAAAACTAATTATTTTTTTATCTTAAAATTTTCTTCTTCTAAACAAAATAACGTGGATTCAGATTAAATCCGAATTAGATTCAAGTCCGACATATTGGATATTAGATTGGTTTCAGATTTGAAGGTTCAATAATCGGATTGGATTTGGATGTGGCCATCAAAAAWCAAAAATAGAAAAAAAAATGAAAAATCAGAATGGGACCCCACAAGAAACATTTAACTTAGGGACACACAGCATCTAATAAGGAAGACATATTCAAATTGAATATCACGAGAGTTGGCGTTTGCCACACAAATAATATAATTTTTGACAATAAACTGAAATTGTATTATTTGTAGGTTCCTTTCAATATATGAATTGACCACCAAGTCACCAACTACCGCTGTCTGACCAGGAACAAGAAACAACAATGAAGGATCTGGGGCCAAGAGGAGTGCACTTTCCGCCATTCACACCTAATCCTACACAGTACATAGCCAACTTCTGGTCCGTCACCATTCCAAAGTACTCACTCAGAAGGTCTGTTTACATTCCAATCCAAACCTCTCCTTGCCTCACATCCTCCCCTCACCAAAAAGAAGTGGAAAAGGAAAATACGATATAAAAGAACAATAAAATGAATTTGAGCCCGACATTCAGAAACAGTGACTCCCACAAGTTCTGAAAGACAAAGCTGGTTTTGTGGGTTAGATTTAGATCTCTAATATAATCAATGGTCTAGCACATCCTCTTAGGTAATACAGAACAGACAAATTCAATAAAGCAACCAAACTAAGAAGACAAAAATCCCATTAAAAATATAGAAACAGAGCTGAAAATATAGGAATTCGATGACCAAGAATGGATCCATTACGATTATATATGTTTGTGGTACACTGGAAGTACTGTTAAGATCCTGGAATTCTGCCAATACTGAAAGCAGATCCCAAATTTCAGCGCCTACCCGTGTCTTCTTAGCCAAAAAAAAAAGCAGCAACATAAATAAACAAAACCCTATGTAATTGAACAGAGATAATGACTAATTAAATAAGATTCAACTTTAAACAAATAAAAAAACCAAATGAATAGATCTAAGAGCAATAAAAACTAATATTCCTTCCATAAGATCCTTAATTAATGAATAAAAAAGGGATCTAAAGAAGACTATAGGATTAACAACCTCTTACCTCTTGTTCCCTCTCGAAGGGCTTTGGCAACACGAAGTGGAGTCTTCTTGAGACCTTCTCTATTAGAATCCTCTCCCAAACCCTGCAACAGAACCTTGACGGCGTCCTCCATGACGGCAGTCTCCGATTCGTGCTCTAGATCCAGCTTAAGAGACTCTAGCTTCACTCCATTCTCAAGGCTTCCATTAAAATGCCCCTCATCCAAAGCGCCCATTGACAGACAACGAATCCCCACAAACTATAAAACTACACCGACCCAAATCAGGAATAGAACACAGAACCACTGAACCAAAAAACARAAAACAAAACCCAGTTATGAAACACGAAAATAAATTCAGAATTAGAGTTACCCGGATGAAGTGTGAGGTCAAACCCAGATGGGTATGATGGATAGATTACAGAGGCCAAAGAAAAAAATGAAACCAAGTCTTTGAAAGAATGAAGAACCAGAGAAACACACCCCCACCAAAACACCCAAAATTCAAAACCAGTTCTGAAACACGGAAAAAACAAATTCAGATTCAAAGGTGCCCGGATAAAGAGTGAGAGCAAACACAGATGAGTAAGACGAATCTATGACAGAGACCAAAGAAAAAACCGCAACAAATTTTGGAAATGATAGAAGACTGAAGAACCAAAGCAACAGACCCTCTCACCAAAGAGGGTCCAAACGGACAGCACAAAGAGAACCGAAAGCGGAAAACCGGGTGGGGAAATCGAGTAAGATGGCTCCTATTTATACCCGAAGAATCAGGGAGCGGCTGAGCCATAAACGTAAGGCTGCCGTTGATCTCCGAACGTGTGGATGCTCTTCCTTTTGCTCTTCTCTCATGGTCCCACTCTCAATTGAAGCGGGCCCCACAAACGTTATTTGTAATTTGTACGGCAACAGGATGATCTGGCGCGTGTCAGCCTTACTCGCATGTGCGAAATGTAGGGCCCACATAACTCCACCAACCCACTGCACTGGAGGCGGCTAGTAGAGTAGTGGGTGAAAGGTGGAATCAGTATCCTGCTCGCTAGGATGTTGTTTGGTATGACGTAGCCTTTCCTAAAAAGTTGTTTGGTTGAGGCTTTTCAAAAAATCGTGTGAATCCGTTTATTAAAAAAATACTAATTTTACCGTCACAGTTTGGCTTATATGGCGATTAGTGGCGCCGAGGTGTAAAAAACTCGTACAAAACATTTAAAACAGATAGCAACGGGTGGGTTCCCGGTCCGCTTTCTTAGACCTTCCAACATCCACCCCAAACGTCGTGGTAGGTTGGATTTTGATAATCTAAACCCTCCTCAATCCTATCCTCCCTGTATCGGGTTGGGTTTAAAATCCGCATCTAATATTCTATTATTTCTTGTTATATATAATTAATAAATAAGTAAAATAATACAAATAAACATCAAAGATTTCTTATTACTTGATTTAAGGCATGTAAAAAACACATAAATTAGTAATTATCTTTCACATAAAATTCAAAATATTATTAAATTCAACACCTAGTACATAAAGTTTATATGCTTTCCAATAATATGGGAGTTGGAGATGATCGGGTTTAGCCTAATACCGCACCCTATCCGTACCCATACGGGTTATAGAATCTCAAAACCCGTACCCACCCCAAAACCAATCATTTTAGCAAAAAAAACTTGCCTAATCGGGGAGGGTAGAGGCGGGTACCCACCAAGTAGGATAGAAATTGCCATCCCTATGCTTAGAGACTAGACTACAAACGAATCAGATTGATTTCAGATATAGATAATACCCGAATCTGACAAACCCAAATTCGCTTTGATATCTAATGGATATGTAAAATGTGGGTTTGAATTCGGTTCATTTACATATAATGTTATCTAATTTGAATCCAATTCAATTTGGACAACAAGTATAAATTTATAAAGCTTAATATAAATCAAAAGATACTTTTAAATAAAAACAAGATCATCATCATCATCATCATCATCGTCACTTAAGACCATGTTTCAACTTTCATTCTTATCTAAGATGAAATTCTAAAATAGACAAGAATGGGTAAAATGAGAAAATATTGCTATGAACCAAACACTTATTTCTCAAAAAATGTGAATTTTTTTCAAATTGGCAAATGCCCTGTGTTGCTCATTTTCATTATTAAAAAATAAAGAATAAAAATAAAAATAAAAACGGTGCTAGTGGTCATAAACCGCTAGCCTAGGTCTCCAAAATCATGGTATAGATGTTTACCAATGGATGGCTGGTGGTCAATGCCATTTGACATAAATTTCCATGGCAGTTGATGTAGCGCGATCTGGTCACTCCTAGCTGGCAGGGGCCTCGCTCCTAGCAGGCAACGAACAACACCTGAGAAGGAGAAGATGAAGGATTCCCGGGGAGCTCGCCCGGCGGGAACACTCCGATGCTTAAGTTAGAACTCAGTGAAAAGCATAGAGAGTAATGACGAGCTAAGAGTGGAGATGCGCACTACTCGATTACCAAAAATTCAATTACCTTTCTCCTTGGGGGTCGGAGCCCTTATATATTAATGCACTGCCAAATCGGGTGTAACTGCCTCTGATTCACTGCTACAACCATTATTCGTCAGGCTGATTTGATTGGCGCAGGTATCCGTCACAGGGTACGGTCCTGTCACCTGAGAGACGTTATGCAGAGCTAGCGTGTACGGCGCCGCATGACGTGAGACGTGGGCACAGTCCTCTAGACTGGCAGGTGCTGCGCTGCCGGACAAGAGACGTGGGAGCAGTCTGACAAGCACGGTCTTGTCGGATAAGAAATTTCCCGAAGGCTTCGGGTTACTTAATAGCGAGCTCCCTCGAAGCGAGCTCCAATAGCGAGTTGCCTTGCAGCAAGCCGTTCTGTAGCGAGTTGTCTCGTGGCGAGCTGTTCTATTGGAGTTTTAGCGAGCTCATTACGTCGAGTTGTAGCCAAGCTGTCATGCTGAGTTGTTACTTACGTCGAGTCATATCTACGTGTCCCTTAGTTAGGAGGTTGGGTCAAATCACCCTCCATCAATTGCCCCCCACTCCTCGGGATAAGGGTCTTACTCTAGTGCGGGGAGTTCATGAAGTGATGGGTGGATTTGACCCATAATTTAAACTAGGTTGACTGATCGCATGATGTATACGCGCGGATGTCAAGTGACTTCTGGATTTTTCGGGCGCCAAAAAATGCGCCAAACTGCCTTCAGTTTCAGAAGACGTGCACAGTCAGCTTTATTTCAGTCTCGAAGGACGTGCAGCCGGCTTTATTACAAGCCGTTGGATCCGCTTTGATCGAGACCATTAGTTGTTTGGGTACAGTGGCTATAAATAGGAGGGCCCCAGCCTCATTTTCTTTACGCCAACTTGCCTTGCTTTCAGTTTGAGGTCGCGCCTTCGCCTTGTTTGCTCGAGCTCCCTCCATTTTCGTCACTTTCTTGGTTCACTTCTCTGGTGAGTCCTCTATTCTGTCCAAACAATGTTTGGGTATCCGTACTACAGTGGCTTTTCCCGAGACGGTAATTACGGCGAGGTCCCCTCTAGCTCAGGGGGAGCTTGGGGGTTCTCTGAAGGGCAAGCTCCGGAAGTCCGTGAGGCCTCCGATAACTCGGCTTCCACTTCCCGGGGTCGGGAGACTGATAGCTTCGGCCCTTCCTCCATGTCAATGGAGAGGCTTCGGGCCCTAGTCTCTTACTATAACCTCCCCAGGGATCTCATCTACAGCCTCCCATCTGGTAACTATCCCTAGGAACACGACCACGACGAAATCATGGTCTTTGAGGAGCAGCTCGTGGCTGGTCTCCGACTCCCTCTACATCCTTTGATAGTGGAGGTTCTTACCCATTTCAATGTCACCATAGACCAACTCCATCCGAACTCAATCCGGAACGTGGTTGGGACAATTTCTCTGTTTTTCGAGTACTGTCTTCCTCTTTCCCTTAATATCTTTGCCACTATCTTGTCAATTAAGAATGCCTCCCCCGGAGCCCCTCCAGAAAGGCGCTCTTATTACTTTTCCCCCCGTCCTGGCTTCAAGCTCCTCAACGATCTGCCAAACAGGATCCTAGCCTGGAAGCGGGGTTATTTTGTAGTTCGCAACCCCGAGGGGTAGCCCTTTCTGACCCACTAGAGGGCCACTGTTCAGGATCCGGGCGTTGAGCTGAACCCGAAAGTTCAGGAAATGCTGCAGTCTTGGGCGGGGGTAGGCTTTCTCTGTTGGGACTACTTGGCTGAGGACAAGTTCGTGCAGGCCGGCTTGAGCCTCGGTAGGTCACCCTTAGGTCGCCTTTTCTTCTCTCCGTTTTGTTTTCTTTTTTTTTGAGCTGGACTAATGCCTTGTGATTCTTGCAGCCAACATGTCTGGTGTGGATGCACGTCGCCTTTTGTCGAGCAACCAGAAGCGCAGGGCGAAGAGGTCGCGCCCCGACCAAGTGTCCACTTCTGGGGCCGTCGAGTTCGAGGCTGCAGACCCAGCTTTTGTTCTGCCGCCGGAGGTCCCACCTGTGTCCTTTGAGGGAGTAGCCACGGGAGGCGGCGAAGAAGAAGAGGTCCCACCCTAGGAGCAGTACGCTTTAGCCACGCAGTCCGGCCCCGCCATCTTCCCGCAGTTTCCTACCGAGGGGAGGGACGAAAGCGTCACCAACTTCCTCGTGGCCTCGCGGAGGAGCTGGTAGGCGGTCACTCATGAGGAGGTCGCGAGCTGGGCCGGGATGCACCATAGGGAGCTCGCCAAGCTGGCCTCGACTCACTGCATGGTGGTAAGTGCCTGCTTCTTCCCTTTTTCTCCCTCCCTTCTCTTTTCTCTCTTCCCCCTTACTTACTTCGGCTTTCTATTGGCAGCTGAACTCCGCCATCCACGCCATGGCCTGTCAGACTGCTATTCACTCCCAGGACGTCGTTAATCAGAGGTCGAACGTGCAGAGCCTCCAACGCGAGCTCGACCAGGCCCGGGATGAATTTCTCCAGGCTCAGAAGCGGAGCGAGGCCCAGGAGCTGCTCGTTAGGGACCAGGAAGCATGGATCTCCCGACTGTCTAAGGAGAGCGCCCGTTATAGGGAGGAGTCTTCGAGGGTGGCGGCGGAGAGGGAGCTTCTTCGCCTGCAGGTCCAGAGCTTGGAGTCCACGCTCCATGAGAGGACCCGAAACTTTGACGCCGCAATGGAGGCAGAGCGGGCTAAGGCGGTGGAGGACTTCAAAGAGTCCCAGCAGTTCCACGACCTCCAGGTCGAATACGGCTCAAAGTCCTACCGCTCGGGGTTCAAGCTTGGCTGGTGGCTGGTCCGGAAGAAGTTCTCCGGCCTTAACCTTGAGGGCGTAACAATGAGAGACCTGGCCCTAGAGACGACAGACGCTGCGGAGGAGGAGGAGCCCGACTCCCTAGAGGAAAGTGACGAGGATGAAGAGGAGGTGAGGCCTTGAGGCTGGTTGCTCTCTCTCTTTTTTTTTTCTTCTTCTGAAAAATGACTTTTGAAGTGGTTGCTCCCGGGCGGCTGAGCCCGATTCTCTTTCTTTTCATTCTGCTTTACTGATGTACTCTCCCAGGCTGTTAGTGTTAGACAGTTTTGTATGCCCTTAGCTCCAATCAGTTTGATGTACTTATGACATTATTGTAAATGAATGAAGTGCATATTTGATTCATGTCATGTGGTGTGTTTCTGTGTAATACCCTTAAAACTGAACACTTATGAGACTTGTGTTGGTTTAGAACGTTCACAACCAGTGGATCGGTCTGGGACACCTATCCTGATAAGGTTGA